TAACTGATTACCAGTACAGCACACAGACTGTATATCAAAGATGGGCGTAGTCACTGTGACATCACCTTTCACTATCTTGGTCTTTTGAATTTGGACATGATGACAAAATGCTGAATCTGAGTGAGAATAGAGGGAAACTGCACTCACAGGGTAACACGCTGTCATGGTCCGGGTTAGTGCGGCTCCGCCCCACGTGCTGGTGATTCCACCTCGGGGCAGAGCCGCTGCGCCTCCTTGTCATCACCTCCACTGCGAGTAATCAGGTTGCGGGCTTTTTATGACCAGCGTTCTCATGCACTCCCCGCCAGAACATCTACTAAATCACTATCTCCTGGACGTCAGTGCTTCCTACTGTCACAGCTGCGGTTTATCTGCTGGTCAGCTCGCACCAGATAAACGGAGCTTCTTCCTGGACTCACCTGTTCTCGCACGCGGACCACTACCCCCCCCTTCCACGCTTTGTTTTCGCCTGCATCCAATGACTGTAAGATCTCTTTTCCCTGCCTTCATCTCACGGTTCCTGCTCCGGATGTTACCCGGTGTCGGGTTCCCCCCTCCGGTCCACGACAGCCCCAAGACTCCCTCACGGACCCCACTCCCCTGGTAACCCAGTGATAACTCAGCATTCCACTTTTAGTTTGGATAGTTCAGTCCGTCAGTTTCTGGTGTCTCTCCGTGTGTGACTTTAAAGCGCCTGAATTCTGCCCGTAGGTTAACAGCATATTTCTGTTCTTAGTATCTTCGTGAAAGAAGAAGTAGTATTGCGTTATTGCGGCTGAGTGCCCGCTCACAGTATTTATCTCTTCAAGGAGTTAAGTTGTTTTTGTTTCAGCGAGGCAATGCTAATTCTGCCTCCCGTAACGTATTAAATATTCTGTCTTGCCTTTCTTAGTTCATAGTAGATGTGTTTAGTCTTGCTCTTTGAATTCTGTAATAAAGTTAACTTTGCTCACAGTTCCTGCGTACCTGAGTGGTGTCCGCATCCGAGTCCATTTCCTTGTGTTCAGCCGCTTGGCCGTGACACAAGCTTGTTAATCACATATATTCAGCTTTATCCTACGTTCTGACTAGAAAATATATTTTCATGTTAAATGGCTCCTACAATTCTCCTTCTTAGATTTTCTGAGTTTCTTGGAGTTTCCTGTTGTTCTGAGTTAAATCCAATGAGGGCTGTCAAATAAATGCTCTTTATGCTGCAATGTATCGTGAATACTAATGAGATGTTAACAGGCCTTGGCCTTGGCAAGTTGAATGGTATTATATAACCTTCAGCACCACTCATTAAAAGACTAAAGTGAGTATATGTATATGTTTGAGGGCATATGTACGTTTTTGAACGAGTGTGGATTAGAGAAACTCCAATCTAATTTTCATGCCCGTGTGTGCAAACTTCTTACCACAACTGTATATAGCGACTACATGCCACCGCAACCCAGGGACACACAGAGGTGTTTACCAGCACAGTATTTGTATATAAGG